CTCGTTTGTTGTCCTCTTCTCTCTCTCTGCCTACGGTTTACCGGGCAGTTCTGTTTGTGACGATATATATCGTCACATGAATATCAGAGCGCAAAGGCAAAAAAAATAAATAAATAAATCGTTTTTTTATCTACTTTCTTACAACTGCCCCTGTTCAGAACCTCTTGCGTACAAGGCCGCCCACGTGGATGTAGGTTGAGCGGCGGCTGCCGCCACCCCCGTGTGTCAAATCGACCCACTTGCACACAGCCAAAGGGCAAAGAGGCAAAGAAAAGAGCCAGGGAACAGCCAAATACAACAAAACAAAACAGGGGGCAACAAGCAATAGCACCAAAAACGGATCCTAGATGACTAGTCCCACATGCAAGCACCGCCCCTGCTTCACAGGCCAAACGACAGGACAAGACCACCCAGGACAAAACTCTTGTCTGCAAAAAAAGAAATATCCCAGATTACATATCTTTTTTTTTTTTTTTTTTTTTTCCCCATAAAAGAGTTAGCATTTCATTACGAAAGAATGTTCGAAACGGGGCCGGGGTCCCCACAATTCCACGCGGGAGATTACATATCTATATACAGCAGATTTTTTTTTTTTAATAAATTGTGGGTTTTCTGACTTCATTCTAGTTCTAGTTGATTTTCCGTTCTTCTGCAGGCATCGGGCTTCGCTCCACTACACGACACGACAGTCTGCTTGCATTTGGACGTTTTCTGAACCAGGTGCATTCGAACGACTGAAACATTTTGAATGCATCGGGTCCACAAAGCGTCCAAATGCATGTAGAGAGTTGTGTAGTGGAGCGAGGCCCATTGTCTACAGAAAAAAAAAAAAAAATGCAGCAAGTGATGGGACCAGTAAAAATGGGTCACTAGTGATGCAAAGGTAAAGGGCCTCGCTCCACTACTCACCAAATGTCCCAAATGAGAACGAATTTTCCCCTAGAACATGGGAAGATTCACCTCCATGTTCTTTGTTCTTTGTCTTTTGTGCACGGAGAGAGTAGTGGAGCGAGGCCCAAAATCACCATCACCTGTCCATCCGAAGCTAAATTCACCATCCAGTACTTACCTGTGGCCAGCGCGCGTGGGTACTCGCCCCTCTGCGCCTGGTCAGTTTTTTTTTTTTTTT